GAAATCATCTCCTTTTGGCCACAGGATGTGACCTTTTCAAGGTACCTAGGAAACTATCCACGGGCATCCTAGCCTGGCAATTGTCTCTGATCAGACCAGATTGCTCCTAATCATGCATGCTGAACTATGCTCAGAAGTGACAGACCTCCTTGTTTTACTATAATTAATTCCCCCTGCTCTTCAGATAATGTTAGGATCTGGCTGCAATTCTGCACACTGTCAAGCGGATGGTGCAAAATGCATGTGCACGAGCACAGATACATATACACAAACATTATTTTCATTAACAGGATGTCACTACAGGCAGTCCCCATGTTACAAACAAGATACATTCTGTAGATTTGTTCTTAAGTTGAATTTGTTTGTAAGCCAGGACAGGTACATTTTTAAGTATAGCTCCAGCCAGATAGATAGATAGATAGATACACACACACACACACATCTTTGGATAGCAAAGGGAAGGGTTAACATGCATGTAGTGTTTGTTTTGGTATCTGTGCCCCTATTCAGAAGAGTTCACCTCACTTTCTGTCCCTGTGATCATTGGATTTTGAAACAAAATTGATTTGTTCTGGAAACAAGGATTGGTGACACCTTTTCCTCATGGCAACTCTTTCAGGAGTGAATTTCCCTTCCAAGGGGTAGATTTCTCTCACTTCCTCTTATCTCACCCCCGTTTGTAACTATGAGTAATTTGTAAGTTGGATGTTTGTAACCAACAGAAAATACTTTTGGTGGTTTGATGCATTAGCAACCCCTCTGACACCCCCTCATGACTCCCCTCCCTCCCCCAGGGTCCCGACCCCCAAATTGAGAAACACTGTGTGAGATATATTCAACAGGTGATTACCCTGGAAGACTGTGCTTGCCACGAGATTACACCAGTGTTTAACTTTGCGTGTTCGTAATTACACAGATTAAGGGGAAACTGGATTGTAGCCATTGTCTTCTTTAAAATCTGCTCCTTGAAAGATTTTTCTTCCCAGAAATGTGTTGACATCACTGTGTTGTGTGTGTTTCTTTTGGGAGCTGTATTATCATAAATATTAAAGAAAACAGGGGAAGAAAAAAACAAGAAATATCTCCACACATCAATTGTCTGCCCTTTTTGAAAGATTTGGAAATGCACTGATTAGATTACAAACATCTCATGAGTAATAACTTCAATAGCTAAGTCTTATTGAAACAGCGGAGATATACCCTCAGCCTTATTTTTTTCACGATTCCTTCACAAAATAGATGTGAAATGCAGTTCAAATGAGCCTTTATTAGAGATCACAACCAGGGCAGAACATCTACGATTGTCTTGGAGATGAATGCCACATGAATAAAAACCTTACATTTCATAATTCATGGGGGAAAAGGAGGAATCCACAATAAAACACTTCCATGTGAAGAATTGGCTTCAGTTAAAAAAGGAGAAAAAAGCTCACTTCTTGAAGAATCCCTTTCTATATTTTTCTTTAAATAAGTTCATTAAAGTGTACAAAAGTGCTGTGACGGTCTATATATTGTTTCAACATCAACTTCTCAAAACCTATTCCAATTCACGACCACCAAGTGAAATTTGGGGAAGATATGTGCCTAACAAATAAGGCTTGTTCCCATATACAGCAAAGTTAGGGATATATTCTTGTCTCATCTCAGTCTTTGGTCCCAATAGTATCTGAAATGAGGCTGACTGGTACACTATCGATGCCATAGATTGATTTCACCTTTTAAATTAGAGTGACCCTTGGCTGTTCAAGAAGGCAGAACATATGCCATCCTGATTATGAGTAATGTCCTACAGGAGCAAATTCATGTTTATAAAATGCTGCAATCCGCATTCTCTGATATGGTGCTCTACCCGTCTGCCCTTGGGAGATGTTTTTGCAATGTGCTAGTATCTTTATCATGCTATTTCTAAGAGATGTTGGATGTTTTTTGCTCCCATAAAGTAGTACATATATCTTGTCTCAAAGAGGTTATTCCTAAGAATATCTTATTGCTTTGACATGTGGTTCATCTACTCCAATTGTTGTAGATGGGCAAAAGTTAACTTCTAGTTTATGCTGGTGTAAAATTGAAAACTCAAAGTATGACTCTGCTACATTAAGGAGAGAGAGGCAGGAATTCCAAGAAGAAAACTTTGGTTTTCATGAAAGAAGAGCAAATAATTAGGTATTTAATTTATCATCATTGCATTTATGGAATAGGGAAAATATGCTTATGGGGTGTTTGTTTTGGTACCTATGCCAAAGTAAATCCACTGTCTTGGAATCTTGGTACTTTAGGCTGTCTGGACAGAGATTGGTTTCCTAATTTACCTTAGACATCACTTTAACTACCATTGCTCAATATTACAGAATCATGGGAGCTGTAGTTTTCAAAAGGTTTTTACTTTCTCTACCCCAAAGTGTTGGTGCTTCAGCAAACTGCAAAATCCAGGATTCCATAGCATTAGACCATGGCCATATTAACTGCATTAATTCTTCATTAAGTGGACTTGAGCACCTGGGAAAACCAAAAGGGGCAAAAGGGGAACCCAGAGGACTATCATTGGCCCTTGGCTTTCTGATCTCAACCAAGGTAAGCATGACAAGCTGGATGGACTCACTGAAAGAAAACTATACGTAATATACAGCTTCAAGACTACTTTTTTGCCCCTGGAGATGCTTAAGCTAAAATAAACAGACATTTTGCACCCAAAAGCTAAACAGGCAGAGAGCCAAGCATTTGCCAGTTCTGCTTGAGCTGCAGAAATTTTTCACAGTGAGCTTCAGTGAGCAATTGTCACTGATTTGCTGAGCCAACATCCATCATGCAATGCGATTAAATCTACAATMCGACGTTATGATAGAAATAGAGCATTTGTATTATCGGAGAGCCCATGTCATGGGCTTTGAAAAAGGAAGCGCAYTGGCATGGCTCGAGTAACTGAACAGCAGTGGGAGACCATTATCAGTAGTGGACAAATCTCCRGAGATTTCCCATTTTCATATAGTAATCACCCCGAGCATGGGATGCTTATCAGAGTATCCTTTCTGAAAATTATCAGCTTTAGACTCTCCATCAAAAAAAACATTCTTTATGTTGTTGGTACAGAATCTTTGTGATTTTTTTTTGTTGTGTCAGGAGTGACTCCTGGTGTGAGAGAATTGGCCRTTTGCAAGGACGTTGCCCAGGGGACRCCTGGATGATTTGATGTTTTGTGATAAAAAGWCTTAGAGGAAAGGCTGGTGATTTCTGAAAAGAAGCATTATTGCAACTCAGGTTGTAATTCATGCAACAAGGGCTGGCAGAATGAAGCAACTGCCTAAAATTGTGCAAGGACAGAAATATGTTATTACATAATTTGGGAACCGCTTGGAAATGGTGCTTTATCACCTAGGGGGCTGACGTAGTGCAAAAATGTAACTTTTCCAAACCCTGATTTAATATTATTGCATTTTAGTGCAATAAAAAAAGGAGAATGCTTCCATCCACCCAGGACATGAAATGTGAGCAGTTTTAGGTAGTTGCACATCCACTTTTGTTGGAAGGGTGCCATTTATTCCTCTGTCGAGGCAGCAGAATGTCTTGGGTCAGGTCGAGCTGCAGCAAGAAAATCTCACAGCCAGTAACCTTTAGTAGCCTTTTGATTAGGCTGGTAATGATTAGGCTGCACAATGAAAAGTAAATTAGCATCCAATTTGCATGATTTTTGAAGAGAGGCTTGGAAGAAGGAGACATCCTTTGGTTCACAATTACATTGAGTAGATCTCTTCAGGCCCTTAATTACAATATTACAGCAAACATATGTTACTTAGTTTGTAATTGCTAATTGGTCCAAGAAGCAGTAAACTGAGAATGTGCATTCCCCATGTTTTCCCTTCCGCAAAGTAGTTTTTCAGATATTATGTGCCTCAGCAATCAAGTTTCCGAATCAGATCTCATGACTGATAACAAAACAGCACACTAAATGCAAGGGACTTAGGTAAGGCAAATCATGTGCTAGGATGGATGTCTGTTGCCATCAGGTGAGCATGTCTTCAAAAATCATTACAAACATATATTTTAGTTTTATCAAAGGCCAAGAGAGCCTACTTGTTGGCAGAAGAGACTCAGAACATTGGTCTGCCACTATTTGTTATGGAAAGTTACTTCTAAAATATAGTTTTCCAGGCAATGCCAAATTATAAGCTTCAGAAAGGATCCCCCCCCCCCAATAGCCAAGTAACAAATGAGTTACATTTCTGGTATTCTGGAAAACTTGGTTATTTAGAGAACAATACTATTCACAAAGCCCCCCCCCCCCAACCCGGTGGTGCAGCAGATTAAACCTCTGAATTTCTGAACTTGCTGACCAAAAGGTTGGCAGTTCAAATCCATGGAGCAGGGTGAGCTCCTACTGTTAGGCCCAGCCTCTGCCAACCTAGCAGTTCAAGAACATGCAAATGTGAGTAGATCAATGGGTACTGATCCGGCAGGAAGGTAAGAGCTCTCCATGCAGTCATTCTGGCTACATGGCCTTGCTACATGACCTTGGAGGTGTCTACGGACGACAACTCTTCAGCTTAGAAATGGAGATGAGCACCACCACCACCACACCCACCCCAGAGTCAGACATGACTAGACTTCATGTCAAGGGCAAAGATGTACCTTTTTACTATTCACAGTACAGTGAGTGAATTAATAAGGCTCCAAAATAGGTGTTTACTCTAGCAGTTTGTATTTAGCTTTGCAGTCCTAGTTGGAAAGACCCTTGTGAAAGATAACTGAAATAAATTATCTACCATTATAGCTTAATAAATAACCACCTAAACTGAGAGTAGGAATTTCTACTACCAGTCCTGATATTCTAGTCTTGTGTTTATTCATTTAAACCATATATTTCCCAAACCATCGTGTTCCAAGTATTTTAGAGTTCAGCTCCCAGGCTCAACTGGGACTTCAGGGAGTTAAAGTCCAAAATATATAGGGGAGCAAAGTTTGGAAATCACTGAGTTAAATAATATAATTGGATAGAATTATCCACACTACATGAGTCCACAGGACACACAAAAATCTAATAATGGTTGGATCTTGAAGTAAACAGTTTGATTCCAAAATAGGGGCGATCCCAGAATGTTGATTCCATTAAAATAAAATGCCATCTTTTGGAGCGCATTCCATAGGTCTCTCCTGTTCTTTCCTTTTTGAATACCTCGCTCGTTGGTAGAATACAATTATGATAACAGTTGCTGCATTGAAAAGGGCCATCAGAAGTATGATCCAGTATGAATATCCATAATTGTTGGAGGTCTTGGGTCCTCTTGGAGATGTGCAATGCTTGGTTGCCAGCTCCGCAGACAGTTCATTCACTTCCACATTCACAGGAAACAATATCAAAATCAGAAGACAGCAGACTCCTAAACATAGGAAAGAAAATGGTGCTGATATTATTTCAGGGGGAATGATCAGCCAATAAGTAATGCTTATTGGGTTTTTCCCCTCTCATGAACAAAATATACTGAATCAAAGTGTCTTGGGGTGGGAGCAAAGATCAGTACTAATGGAACAGAGTTTTAATTACTGGATGAAATGGAAGGAGTTTTAATGAAATCCAGCAGCACTTTGCTCCCTGTATTTTGTCTAATTCATGTCTACCCTGCATTTCAAGACCTCCCTGAACCTCTTCACTGGCAATATGAACACTGTGGTTTAGTCARGCGGACAAAAACAAAACCACATGTAAACTATACATTGTATTGTCGAAGGTTTTAATGGCCGGAATCACTGGGTTGTTGTAGGTTTTTTCAGGCTATATGGCCATGTTCTAGAGGCATTCTCTCCTGACGTTTCGCCTGCCTCTATGGCAAGCATYCTCAGAGGTAGTGAGGTYTATACATTACTTTGAGTTCTCTTTCGAGAAGGCTCATTATATATTTAATATGAACTTTGRCCCAATCATCAAACTGGGAAAGTAGAGGGACTCAGAAACCGGTCTGAGTCCCTCTACGGAGGTGAGAAAATYGGGATATAAACGTTTCAAATAAACAAATAAATTTGAAATGAAGAAGCATGGATGATGGACCCTTGGTATTTGCTGAGATTTGGTTCCAAGACTTGCTGTGGATACTCAAATCCATGGATGCTCAAGTCCCATTATATCAATTAGCTTAGTAAAATGGTGTCCCTTAAATGGGAAAATCAAGCTTTGCTTTTAGGAGGCTTTTCTTTAGAGGGGAGGGATATTTTCAAGCTGTGGATGATTGAATGTGTGGATGCAGAATCCATAGATAAGGAGCAGGTGTGGGCAAACTTCAGACCTCCAGGTGTTTTGGACTTCAACTCCCAGAAACCCCACCCCTGCCTCTGGAACTCTCTCCCTAAACTAATAAAAACAGCCCCTTCCTACTCTCTTTTAAACTACAGCTAAAACACATTTATGTTCTCTTGCATGTAGAGAGGAGGAGGATTAGAATACTATGCATAGTTATCATTTATGAGAAATGGCTGCTTAATTTTTTAAAATAATTTTAATGTATTTTAAATCTGGTTAGATTTGTGTTTTGTTTTGATGTCAGATGTGTAATGGTAGATTGATTATGTCATTACTTTGTTATAGATGTGGACTTATTTCTGGGTTTCTGGGGTTGTCTATTTTGTTTAGTTAATTACGGCATTGAATTTTTGCCGTTTTTTGTTGGAAACCAACCTGAGTCCACTTGGGGAGATAGGGCGGAATATCTATCCATTGGGGATAGTTGGGGACCCCTCCCCACAGCACCAACTGTTGCTTTGGGCCAGAGCGAAGAGAGAGGGGATCAGGGGACAGTTCCATCTTGTCTCCTGTGCTATGCTAATATTATAATATAATATAATGTATATCCATACATATTTATAATATTATAATGTAATACAATATAATACTGCTAATAATATGTTATAATTATATATTTTATATTACATGTAATATTACTAATAATGTTACAATATAATGTTATAGTACAATATAGTAATATATAATACTGATATTGTACTATGCTAATAATATAATATATTGTGTGTGATATATATATATATAGAGAGAGAGAGAGAGAGAGAGAGAGAGAGAGTAAGCCACTCTGAGTTCCCTTCGGGGTGAGAAGGGTGGCATATAAATGTTGTAAATAAATAAATATTATACATAAAGTATTATTATTATTATTATTATTATTATTATTATTATTATTATTATTGTATGGAGGGTCAACTGTATTTGAAGTAGAGTATATCTAGATGTGACAGTTCTGGGACTCTGATCCTACTTTAACAGCCAGCATTCTATTCTTGGAGTTCTCTGCTGGAGATCTCCAGCGCTCTCCCCTGAAGCAGACCTCTCTAGCCAAGAATGTCTGTTTGCAAGACATTTCCTGGCAGCTGTGGTAATAATAATAATAATAATAATAATAATAATAATACCACCTTATTTATAACCCGCCCTCTCCCCCCGAAGGGACTCAGGGCGGTTTCCAAAGAGTAACAAAAATGGCAAACAATTAATGCCTAAAACAGACAAACAGCAATCAAGACATAAAATATGAAATAAAATGAACTCAGTATAACTTATAAAACTTTTACATAATTAAACCAAAGATTAAACTAAATGAACATAATATAACACAAAGAGTCGTACCAATTAAAACACAGTACATTAAGAGCACAAAATAGAGTATAAAATCAGTGGGCTGATATGAGTATCCAATATCAAGGTGAGGATGTGTGTAAGGTATACTAATCCTCCTTTCCATAAACTAGATTACATAGGTAGGTCTTTAAAAGCTTTTTAAAGGAGAGGAGAGGGGGGCCAATTTTAGTTATTTTGGGAAGGAGTTCCAGAGGCAGGGGGCAGCCATGGAGAACGCTCCCTCTCTCGTCCCCACCAGCCACACTTGTGACAAGGGTGGGACCGAGAGAAAGCCCTCCCCTATGGACCACAGTACTCGTGCTGGTTTGTACGAAGAGATATGGTTTTTCAAATAGTCTGGGCCTGAACCTCATATGGCTTTATAGGTAATAACCAGTACTGTGTATTTAGCCCAGAAGCGGACCGGCAGCCAATGGAGCTGCCATAACATGGGAGTGGTTCTCTCCCTGTATGGCGTTCCAGTTAGTAACTGTGATGAACTGTATTTATTTATTTGATTTCATTTATATCATTTATTTGATGGTGCTCCATGCAGTGATGACAGCCACATGACCTTGGAGGTGTCTACAGACAATGCCAGCTCTTCAACTTAGAAATGGAAATGAGCACCAACCCCGACAGTCAGACTGAACTTAGTGTCAGGGGAAAACTTTTACCTTTATCTTATTCTGCCTTTCCACCAAAATGAGACTCAAAGTAGCTTACAATGTAAGTTAAAACAAATTATCTAAAATCAAGGTTTTAAAAATCAATAATCAATTCAATTAAAACATCAAATTAAAACCATTGGAAAGCACATAGTACTTCCTGTTTTAAAAACCAGGCTTCTTGTATACCCCTTTCCTTAACCAGGATTTCCCAACTACATAATCTCCAACGAAATTGGGAAAATGTTTTTATTAAGATCCCTACTGGCTGTGTGTGGATGGTATCAGTTGTAGTCCAAGTCATCTGGAAAGCAACAGACAGGGAGGACTCTGTTGCTTCTATCTAGTACTGATATGTTTTGCAATATTAGACTCTTTTCCTACTGAATAAATTCTTTTAGTCCAAAGGCTTCTGTTACAAAAAGCAGGAGCCTCTTGAGACATATTTAGTGTAAGAAATGGAGTTATTTCAGTCGCAGGATCAGAAGGATAGCAAAATACATCAAAGGAAACCAGATGTAAGCTTAATAGGGGAATGAAGGGTTATCTCCCCAGGGAAATGTTTGAAGGAGTTCATCTTACAGTCTACATATCACAACTTTCCGATGAATCTGGAAAATACTTTTTTCCCCTCAAGTGTATTGCTAATTCTTTTTGCAGCAAAATTTTGCCCTATTTTTTCAGCTTTAGTTCACTTACTACCTTTTTTTTCCAGTTCCAAAATGGGTCAAGTATCTAACTATGCTCACAAGTTCTAAATACCATGCGTCAAGAATGTTTGTATGGTGTATAACTATGACAGATCAAAGATCCAGGTAGGTGTGCTAGTTTTTTTTTTCCAAGGAGAAATCCCAAAGGGTAATACTTTTATTAGGATCCATTAAAATATCAAGGAGTAGTAAGAACAGTTCAGCAATTGCAGACCAGTCTATAGAAATTATAGAATTTTCACTAATGCAAAGGAGAAGAACAATATTCCATCATTAACAGAATGAGGCAACTATGAGTCCCAGAGTTACAAACATCCAACTTACAAAATTTATTTATTTATTTATTTCACAGTTTTGTATACCGAGCTTCTCAACCTCCGTTGAGGGACTCAGCCCGGTTTACAGCCATAAAAACATATACATTCATTAAAATATCATATATCACAATTACAAAAACTTTAAAATAACACTATGTCTAAAACTACTGTGGTCAGTCGTCCTATTAAGATGGATCTACATCAACTTCCATCCAGGGTCCTATGGTGTTCTCTCATTCCTCGAAGGCCTGACTCCACAGCCACGTCTTCACCCGTTTCCTAAATGTTAGGATGGATGGGGCGGTTCTGGCCTCCAGAGGGAGAGAGTTCCAGAGTCGCGGGGCCACCACCGAGAAGGCCCTGTCCCTCGTCCCCACCAGGCGCGCTTGCGAGGCTGGTGGGACCGAGAGCAGGGCCTCTCCAGATGATCTTAGTAATCTTGATGGTTCGTAGGGGAGAATACGTTCGGAGAGGTAAACAGGGCCGGAGTCGTTTAGGGCTTTATAGGTCAACACCAGCACTTTGAATTGTGCTCGGAAGCTAATTGGCAGCCAGTGGAGCTGGCGTAACAGCGGAGTGGTGTGCTCCCTGTACCCAGCCCCCGTTAGTAATCTGGCTGCCGCGCGTTGGACTTGCTGCAGCTTCCGGGCAGTCTTCAAAGGCAACCCCACTTAGAGAGCGTTGCAGTATCTAAGCGGGATGTAACCAAAGCGTGTACTACCGTGGCCAAGTCAGCTCTCCCAAGGTACGGACGCAGCTGGCGCACAAGTTTTAATTGTGCGAAAGCTCCCCTGACCACCGCTCCTGGGGTTCCAGGCTCAGCGATGAATCCAGGAGAACTCCCAGACTGCGTACCTGAGTTTTTAGGGGGAGTGTGACCCCGTCCAGCACAGGCTGTAACCCCGTACCCTGTTCGGTCTTACGACTGACCAGGAGTACCTCTGTCTTGTCTGGATTTAGTTTCAATCTGTTGTCCCTCATCCAGTCCGTTACAGCGGCCAAGCACCGGTTCAGGACCTGGACAGCCTCCTTAGTAGCAGGTGGAAAGGAGTGATAGAGTTGGACATCATCTGCGTACAGATGACACCGCACCCCAAAACTCCGGATGATCTCTCCCAACGGCTTCATGTATATGTTAAACAACATAGGGGACAGTATTGAGCCCTGCGGGACTCCACAGTGCAATGGCCGAGGAGTCGAGCAGGAGTCCCCTAGTAACACCTTCTGGGAGCGACCCTCGAGAAAGGACCGGAGCCACTGCAAGGCAGTACCCCCAAGACCCATTCCCGCGAGGCGTCCCAGAAGGATACCGTGGTCGATGGTAAGGCCGCTGAGAGGTCCAGCAGAACCAACAGGGACACACTCCCCCTGTCCAGTTCCCGGCGCAGATCATCAACTAAGGCGACCAAGGCTGTCTCAGTACCATGTCCCGGCCTAAAGCCAGACTGTGCCGGATCTAGATAGTCCGGGTCCACCAGGAATTCCCTGGAGTTGCGAGGCCACCACACGTTCCAGGACTTTGCCCAAGTAGGGGAGATTGGAAACTGGCCGAAAGTTGACGAATTGAGTGGGGTCTAGTGATGGTTTTTTCAACAGCGGTTTGATTACAGCTTGTTTTAAGCTGGCTGGAATCTTGCCTTCCCGAAGGGAGGCATTAACCACCACCTTTACCCACTCTGCCAAACCCCCTCTGGCTTCTTTTACCAGCCAGGAAGGGCAGGGGTCTAGGATGCATGTGGTAGGTCTCGCCTCTCCCAGAACCCTGATGACCTCGTCGAGTTGAACAGATTGAAATGAATCCAACAAAACTGGACAAGCAGATGCTTGAGTTACATCCTCAGAGACCGCAGATAATGTGGTGTCAAAGCCCGTGTGGATCAAAGCGACTTTGTCCGCAAAGTACTGAGCAAATGCTTCACAGCGCGCTGCCAAGTTGTCAGGGGACCCACTCGAGGTGGGATTCAACAACCCTCTGACTACTCGAAACAGCTCTGCCGGACGGTTCCTTGCGGACGCAATATTGGCCGAATAGAAAGCATTTTGCGCGGCCTCTATTGCCGCGCCATACACCCTTAGATAAAGGCGTAGACGTGTTCGGTTTGGCTCGCTGGGCTCTTTCCTCCACACGCTCTCTAGCCATCTCTTTGTTCGGTTTAGCTCCACCAGCTCCTCGTTGAACCAAGGGGCAGGTTTCACTCGGCGACTTAAGAGAGGGCGCTCCGGAGCAATCGTGTCTATTGCCCTAGTCAGCTCCCTATTCCAGTAAGCGACCAGGGCATCGACAGAATCACCATCCAAGGCAGCGGAAACATCCCCAAGAGCCATCAGGAAACCTTCTGGATCCATAAGCCTCCTGGGGCGGACCATCTTAATGGGTCCACCACCCCTGCGGAGGTTAGATGTTGCAACGAGTCTAAACCTGATCAAAAGACTCACAGTTAACAACAGTGCTGAGACAACAGGAAGCAAGAGAAATCTACTAGGAAGGGAAATACACTCTTGAAAGAGTGGACTTCTGCAATGTGCTTTACATTGGGCTACCTTTGTACCAAGTTTGGAAACTCCAGTTAGTACGAAATACAGCAGCCAGATTGGTCACAGGAACATCCAGGAGTGAGCCTATTACATCGCTACTAAAGCCACTCACTTGCTGCCAATGAGTTTCTGGGCAAAGTACAAAGTGTTGGTTTAGACCTTGAAATCCCTACATGGTTTGGGTCCAGGTTACCTAAAGGATTACCTTCTGTAGAATCCACCCTGCATACTGAGGTCCTATGGGTGGTTAGTTACCCCAGCCAACTAGAACCTGACTGGCAACCTTACTCAGAGGAAGTTTTCACCGGCTACCCCAAGACTGTGGAACGATCTGCTGGAAGATCCCCAACAGCTAAATGAGCTGTCAGAATTTTAAAACCATCTGGCAGTCTTACCCAGTCAGTTTTAATCACAATTTTTAAACTTGTGTCTTATGTTTTATCTTTGTTCTGAGTATTTTAATGTGTATTTTGTAGAAATATGCTTTAATATGTGTATTGTGTAGAATGTTTTTAAATGATTATGTGTTTTTAGCAATTTTGTCATCCATCTCAAGCCACAAGGAGAGGTGGGAAATTATAATAATAATAATAATAATAATAATAATAATAATAATAATAATAATACATAAATACTGCATCCTTCTTGGATCCAGAACAAATTTAGGAGCAGTGTTATCACTTTGCTTCTTAATCAGCTATATTGATAGTAGTCGAGTGTGACAAATTATGTTTAGTTTGGTTTACACTGAAAACTGCAGGTTCATTTAGATTTGGAAGGCTGTTTCTAGCATATATAGGCTTTGCATGCTAGTTCTTTATCAATTTTAGTTTAGTTTAGTTTGGCTCTTGATGAAGTTTTGGTTTGTTTCAGGCTATCTATCAGATGTTTATTGAGCTTGGGCTTCATTGCTCTTTTGGACTTTTCATTATGCGTCAGCAAATAAAATTTATGAAGGATTTTAATATAAACATTTCAGTTAGTGCAGAATTTAAACCATGCTATAAAAGATGATTCTCTGATTTCAAATCTCACATAAACAAATAGTTCAATGCATTGTTGCCTTTGACTTTTAAAAATCTTTTGAGTTAACAATTACATAATCATGTTGCATTATCAAAGTTTTCAAAAATATTCCAAAGTGCAATGCACATTACTTACCAGAAATGCAATTCCAGGTATAGACTCCAATTGGACCCAAAAAGGTTTGATAAGGATTGCTAATGGCATTATAAGATGTAAACACAAAACTGAGGAAGGTGCTAAACAAATGAAGAACCAGTAGAAGGATAATTATAATGTTGAAAGTCTTCATTGTGGTATTCTCCAATAAATCTGTAACTGAAAAATAATATTTTGGATATCAAAAGCTGCAGAGATGAATACTTTAGGCGTTATGTGAAAAGATTTCTATGAGTTATGATGTAAAAAGCTAAAAATGTACATCCATGCTAAGAAACAGTAGATGCGCATGAAGGCCACCACCAAATACGATTAGGCATGTTTGATTCTCTACAGAGTATAATTATCTATAAGCAGAGCCTGTGAAGCATGACCTAAATCTTAGGACATGTTTAGCTCATTCAGTGTTTTCACAACCCTTCCATGGAATTCTTGAGTGATTATTTGTATTTTATTTCCAGCATTTGGACAGTTGAACTAAAAGCTAAAACAAACAACAAATGTCAACTCAGTTTTTCAGTCACTCATATTAATAAAAACAAACACATTTGCAAGGAATCCAAATTGAGACTTTGGGGGCAGTTAAAAAGATGAGGCAGGGCACCAGAAATATATATTTGTGCAAAGTGAGTCTAACCCTGTTACTGGTTTTCCTGAGCTAAGCAGGATCTCAATGATACCCCAATCCTTGATGTAAATATATGTGTGCTTCTGTCTGCCGGGCATTCTATTTTCAAACCCACTGTATATCAAGGATGCGTTTTGGAGAAGATAACTGGGACACTCGCTTCTCACCATTGGTATTCTGGCTAAACCAAATGACAATTTTAGTCTAGCAACCTCAGGAAAGTTAGGTGATCCCTACTTTTACTGTAATTGGAATTTAGGAAAGGCGTTCTTTTCTTGCTTGCTTTTTGCATTGTTGAAAAGCAGCCCAAACAATAGTTAATGTTTGTGAATTGGTAAATCAATTTCTGGTTTTGGCTAGCTTTAAAGGTGCTAGACCAGGCATGGGCAAACTTCAGCACTTTTGTGTTTGGACTTCAACTCCCATAATTCCTAACAGCCAGTAAGTTGACTGAGATTTCTGGGAGTTGAAGTCCAAAACACCTGGAGAGCCAAAGTTTGCCCATGCCTATGCTAGACTATTTTCAAGATACTGCAGCTATTTTGACTATAAAGCTCAGCACTTTGGACAACTTCATTAACAAATGGGTTAAAATCTGGAGTAGACTCATTACATCATTGATATAGGAGCCAGCAGCAATCACTGTGTACCAGACAGATAAAATGGAGCCCCCGGTGGTGCAATGGGTTAAACCCTTGTTCCAGCAGGACTACTGACTGATAAGTTAGCAGTTTGAATCCAGAGAGAGTGGGTTGAGCTCCCTCTGTCAGTTCCAGCTCCCCATGTGGGGACATGAGAGAAGCCTCCCACAAGTATGGTAAAAAATCAAACATACAGGAGTCCCCTGGGCAACGTCCTTGCAGATGGCCAATTCTCTCATACCAGAAGCGACTTGCAGTTTCTCAAGTCACTCCTGACATGGAAACAAAACCAGATGGATGGCTCTTAAAGTTATGATTAATACAATAAATGCTGATTGGCCTTTTCCATTGTTAAACATCATCGAATTAAATGTTTGATATTGTAACAACATGACGTTTCAGATGCATGCTGCATCTTCTTTGCTCTGTGGTTTCACAAACGGAGCATTGTTATGTCTTAAGAATTAAAACAGAGGTATTTCTGATACATAAATAACATTATTTAATATCCTACTTTTTTTTCCAAGTACAGAATTTAGGGCAGCTTTTTTCTTTTTAGCAAGTACATTTTGTGAGCAAAACTGTCAAATTTGCCTCTGTGTGTGTGAAATGAGCATGGAAAGGAAGAATACGAATGCTGAATTGAATTCTTTTAATTTTAACAAGATATTTAAAGTTATATATGACTATTCTCCTAACTATGGCGGCAGAGTATGTGGTTAAAGATACAATTCAGTTGGCCCTTTGCATCCACAATTAAGCACCGAAGAATTCAACCATCCATTGATAGAAAATATTTCTAAAAATCCAAAGAAGTTAAACTTGATTTTGTTATCTATATAAATAAAAATGTAATGTTCATTTGTGGGATTAACATAACTCAAAAACCACTGGAGAAATTGCTGCCAAATTTGGCCCAAGACTCCTACTAACCCAAGGAGTGATCAGCACTAAAAAAATAAATAAAAATGATTTTGTCATTTGGGAGTTGTCGTTGCTGGGATTTCTAGTTAACCTACAATCAAAAAGCATTCTGAACTCCACCAATGATGGAATTGAACCAAATGTGGCACACAGGACTCCCATGACCAACAGAAAACACTAAAAGGATTTAGTAGGCATTTACCTTGAATTAGGGAGTTGTAGTTCATCTACATCCAGAGAGCACTGTAGACTCAAATTATGATGGATCTGGACCAAACTTGGCACAAATATTCAATTTGCCCAAATATGGACACAGGTAGAGTTTGGGGGAAATAGACCTTGATATTTGGGGGTTGTATTTACTGGGATTTACAGTTCACCTACAAACAAAGAGCATTTTGAATCCCACGAATGACAGAATTAGGGCAAACTTCTCACACTGAACCCCCATGACCAACAGAAAATACTTAAGGCCCTCCTTAACCAGGGCAAGAAAATGTAATCAAAGCCCTCCTGACAAAAGGACATCCAGCCATAAATATATAGATAGATATATATGATTCGCGCACACACATATAGTATTATAAATTTGAAAGGGACCCCTAAAGAAGAACCATTACATGTTGCATGTTCCAGAGAAGGCAAATCAGACAAACTCCACATCAATACTGACAAAGAAACAACAAGAAATACTGTTTACCCACAAGTATAAAGAAATTACATATATTAGAAACCAACACTTTCTCATTATTTATTTTCCAGATCAGCAGACTGGGCCACAGCAACATGTGGCAGGGGATGGCTAGTCTTATATATGTGACATGTTTTACTATAACATTTACTATAACATAATGGGACAGAAATATCCACAGACTTTGATATCCATAGGGGTCAACCTGTAACCAACTCATAGCAGATATCATGGCCTCACTTTAGACAGTATGTCGAGTAGATTTTCTCCCGGATAACACAAGAATTGAAAAAATGTTGGGAGGCAAATAAAAACTTCTAAAGGTGTGCCAAGTCATTCTGCTTCTATTCTGAGAAGTCCACAAAGCTATGGTTGTTTATTACATCATATAAATCATTAATGGCAGCCTATTAAGAGTGTGATTAAGGTTGGTGTGCTTTGCACTGTTGAACATCCATGATGTAAAAGTGATGATCAAGTATACTGTTCAGCAGAATAGCACCCACAATAAATTTCAAGGATAATATCAGAAGCCTTTGTTAGTTGTCCAGCAAGGCTACTAATTAACTGACCTTTTATTATACGAGCAAATTGCTCTTGCGAGCAAATTCCTAGCTGCTCAAGAACTGCTGTATAACAGCAACTACTTCATTGCAGTGTTTTACAGCACTTCCTACATTTTGTTCCTGTGCCATGTGCCTTCACCTTTTCATCTACACACATAATAAAAGTGAAAAATGTGTATATGTGTATGTGGCACAGGTGTGTCCACTCACACAGACAGTCTCTGGCCTCCGCAAACAGGCTATAGTTCCAAGTGCTGAGAAGCCTCCGAAGGCACTCCCTCAACTGACATTGCAGGTTATAGCGAGCTCCATGAACATGAAGCCCGAACACTGCCAATGTCCTCCCCAAACACTATGGCCCACCATCCAATGAATGCTTTCATTTGGGGAACATTTCATCTTAGATTTGACGTGTTTCCTCTGCCACAGGATGGCATCCCAGGTTTACCAAATTAATATTACCAAACTTCGAAAAACAAACAACGCCTTTCTCAAATAACCCGAGCACCACTGGATCCCCAAGCTAGTGGCTTAATAAACATCATCAGACTTTGGCTTCGATCCCACATGCCCTAAGTATAGCAAAAATGTCCACACATAGAGGTATGCTGAACCAACACTTCACAATCCCCATGTGCAACACATGTCAATGGCTAGGTGTCATTGTACGGTGTGCCATAAGCAATGAGCTGTGAGCAATGTCCAAACATGATGTGCAACTGCAATGCACAATGAGCACAGAATGTAAACCCAGTGTACAATATTGTTGTATGTGTGACTCCATTTGGGTTGCCCTCAGCAGAATACTTCTGTTGTGCTTTGATTAATCATTTATCCATCATGCACAATGCATCTTACATATGTGTATGACACTAATACAATGCTAACCAAATTGTTTCACTCCCACATATGGTGTATGCCATTGCTTGCACTTTATTGGATTATAAAATTATACTGTCAGTTTTACACAATAGTTACTTTGCTCTGTCTGCCTATTATGTCAACCTTAGTTGTACTTTTTATAGTATCCAGTGTCTTTTAGAAAAACAGTTATTGGATACAACAACCTAATTGTAGTTTTAAAAAGGAAATGCTGGGTCTTAAACATGGATTTGTGAAGGAAATTAAAATAAATTATCACATCACAGCAATAAAAGCAGTCCAAACTTTGATGATATGATTTTTAAGCATGCAGATGATAAAAGATCAACAATCTCATTAAGGGGCACAGAAAGTTAAGAAAATTACCATTTAAGCATTGTGAAAACATAGATTATAAATAGGATCCTTGTTTGGAGGAAAGACTGGATAATAATTTAACTAATACATCTACAGTAGTACAATAAAATAAATGGCTAGACATCTCAAAACTTGACAAGCCATTTTGGACTGCTGTTCACATTGTAATGCCAAATTTTAAATGAAAATTCCAAATGGTATGTCATTTGAAACTAAAAGAGAAGCTGTCACAACTTATCAGGAGATAATACTTCAACATAACAAGAAAACTAGAGGCCTGCTACAATCCATTGAGACATATAGCTGCTTGAAATCCAAATGTCATTGAAGTTGCTTTGGCCAGTTTCAAGACAAAAATTACAAATAAGGAAGTGCTTCCTGAAAGCCACAAAAGATGATATGCTATAACCCATTGAGGAATGAATATATATATATATATATATATATATATATATATTCCTTGATTCATGTTTGGGTGCTGTATTTAGTGGTCGCTATGTAGACTTGTCCACAGTTGCATGGTATACAGTAGACTCCTGCAGAGGTGAGAGAATCCCTCTTGTCCTTAGCTGCACATAGCATTTGTTGGATTTCCTTAGTAGAACATTAAAGGCACTGCAGACTATTTCAACCTGAGAAGTCAGTCATAGCAGAGCACCTGATGAGCCAACCTGGACACAATATATTATCTGGGAACACAGAAATGCTGGACCACTCTAACAATCACCATGTCAGACTAAACAGAGAAGCCATTAAAATCTACAAGCATGTGGACAATTTCAACAAAAAGGAGGAAACCGTGCGCATTAACAAAATCTGGTTACCAGTATTAAAAAAAACTCTAAAATCAGGACAGTAAATAAAGAGCAACATTCAAAAAACAGGGGAATTCCAGACATGAAACAATCAGGGCCAGCTAACACCTCTCAACAAAGGATTTCCCCAGCAGTAAGCAGCCAGGTTTTGAAGCTGTAAGGCCATTAAATGCTAATCAAGGGGACCAATTGCAATATTCACACTTGCCTCAAACAGACAAGAGTTCTTTCTCCCACCCCAGACATTCCACAGATAGATAAACCCCAATTTCCTAGTTTTCAACAGACCTCAGAACCTCTGAGGATGCCTGCCATAGATGTGAGTGAAATGTCAGGAGAGAATGCTTCTGGAACATGGCCATACAGCTTGGAAAACTCACAGCAACCCAATCTCTTTCATGCATCTTTTTGCAAAGCTTAGCAACAGGAGTATGTGAACACTTTCCAGACGTTTAAACGTTATTTTCTCTCTCTCTTTTATCAATTATTCACTCGGTGCATTTAGTATGCATCCATCTTGCATTTTAGAAGCTCTGCCCCTTAGAACTAGGAACAATAAATAAGTCAACAATTTGGAGACTACCAAGGACACTTGCTAAAATTCTGGAAACAAAATACAAAACTTTTCCTTTGACTTCAACTTCTGTGGCCTAGATATGTGAGGATTGTATCAAAAAAGAGAAGACACAGTTTTGTTTTGTTTTTGCTATCAATTCAGGATGTTCTTGAGAAAGTTTCATTCATTCCAACTGTTTGGCTTATTTTTCTTAATGAATACACAATGACTCCATCTGTGTGAATGACATAATTCTGGGAGAATAACTATAAATCAGTATGACAACTCATTATAAGGGGAAATGGAATCTTTATGAATATATAATCTTTATGTGTGTGTGTGTGCGCACGCGTGCATGTGTGTACACACACACACACACACACACATATGGTATTATACTGTTCACATGATAGACTATGAAATGTGAGGAATCAGCTATCTGGAACATCACTAGGAATTAGAATGTTTCATTTCTGTAATTTGTAGAATATTATAAAAGTTCTAAATAACTTTTCATATATACTCATGTATAAGTTAACCTCATGTCTAGAGTAGTTTTTGGACCCAAAATTATAACATAACTCAAAATTATAACATAAACCAAAATTGTGTATTTTAATTTTGCCTATGAAAAAGTCAACCCTGATCCCACATTTTCTATCACATTTCCTTATTTAGCCTAGTAAACTGTGGGAATACTGTCTGGACAGCACTATTCTGCAGTCCACAACCGGAAATAGTGGTTTTATCCCACACCTTCCAAGAAGGCACAGAATAAACTCATTATCTAATTAATTTGCTTCAAACCAGGGTTTCCTGGTTTGTAGTGAATTAATTTCGGACTGCCCAGAACGTTGTGTGGACAGCCCCTCCTTTATTGCCCTAGATACCATAATAAAGGTACTGTTTGGATGGGCCCTAGGTCTTCCAATATGACTCTATGGCCAACTTCCACTGGATCACATTGGAGGACTAGAAAATCTTAAAGAGGTGTTATTTCTAGAAATCTCTATATCCTCCACTATAACTGGAGGAGGTTTACCATAGAGTCAAACTGGGATTGCTAGAGAGAACACTTCATATCAAATCCATGAATAACCAAATCTGCTAGAATCAAAGCTACAAATATGGAGAGACAAACATCCTTCTAAAAATTGGTTTACTGGTCTTTATTTCCTTCTGATACTCTTGCTTTCCACATAACTAACCATGTATAAACAAATGAGAAAAAGATATGGCTTGAAGTCCATAATGCTCAAGTACAAAAACTGGATCAAACCAAACTGTTGTCCACAACAATGGCCCATTCATTGCAATGGTTATTTACCTTGGAAAATGCTGTCTGGTTTGCCAATTCCTTGGAGCACATTTCTTGAGCAAAGTCCTTCAAAGAGTCCATATGTAACGGTGATCACCACTGTTGAATTTCCTTCTTTGTAGTTGATTTTACTTGAGACCCAGTTTTTGGTTGCAAGGACACAGCAAACTATCACAAAGGAGCAGATACTGGTCAAAGACGCTGAGGCAAACATCAAGGATTTTCGCCGGGATGGCATTTTGTCAAACCGAAAAATATTTCCCTGGAATGACTTAAGATCTTTCCTTCCCCACTTTCCTTAGTTCTTCAGCTGTTTTAACAAGAAATTGACTCAGCAGAAGCTTTTCTTCTACTACTAATGAGTAAGAGCATTGTCACTGGTATCTGCGCTGGCAGAAAGTTGTGCCCATAAACTTTGGACTAACAGCAGTGGTAATAAAGATGTAAAACAGATGAACTCTGGTCTGCAGGAAAGTGTTACCACAGTAACCGGGAAAGCCTTCCAGTCATGAACAGGAAAGATTTCCATATTCCTTTCGCTTGTTAGTTAATTGCAGTTCAATAAAAGACTGCGGAAAACATATATTTCCATTTCCATGTAATTTTGTTCACACAAAACGTTTTGTGGCATTCTTTTATTATAAACTGTTGGGACTAATGCAAAGGTCAAGTCTGTCTTTGTAATTATTTCCTGAAAGCAATAAATAACCAATAGCAGATTGTAATTACGCACATACCACACCCTCCTTCTTGTCTCTTCCTCATTTATGTCTTTGTTTGCAATGGAAAAGAACTCACTACAATTCAATTGTATACAATTCTATTAGAAACAGGTGTACAAATACTATGATTAGACTAGATTTAGGTCTCAAAATGATTATCTTTCTTCTGATCAGGTAGAGCTTATCTTTCCATCATAAAATAGCCACATTAAAGCTATGCCTTCTTTTATTTCTGTTATTTTATTTTATTCGTTTGTTTACTTTTTAAATTTTTTCTAATGTTGCATCTCAAGGTTTACAACAGTGGTTCTCAACCATGTTTTGGCCTACAACTCCTACAAATCCCAGCCAGTTTACCAGCTGTTAGGATTTCTGGGAGTCAAAGGGGGACCCACAGGTTGAGAAGCACTGGTTTACAAGATACTCACTTACTGGATGTCTAAAGTTGAATTTACATCCTTAACCTTCAGTGTTTATTTTGGAAACTGTTTGGAAGGTAGAAAGTTTTCCAAATAATGTTGGAAACTAGTTTCCAACAGACCTCACAACCTCTGAGGATGCCTGCCATAGATGCAGGTGAAACGTCAGGAGAGAATGCTTTTAGAACATGACCATACAGCCCGAAAACCCTACAACAACCGAATGTTGGAAACTGTTTGGAAGGAAGTCAGTTTGCTCATTTAGATAAGTGAGGTCACAATGTGAAAGCATAGAATTTGTATCTAATATAAACTGAATGTTTTAGGGTACATCTATAATTAATGCAGTTTGACACCACTTTAACCACCCTGGCTTGATGCTATGGAATGCAATGGAAGCATTGGAGTTGTAGTTTTACAAGGTCTTTACAAGGTTTTATCTGCTAAAGAGGGCTGGTGCCTCACCAAACTACAATCCCCATGATCCCTTAGCACTGAGCCATGGCAGTTAAAATTGTGCCAAGCTGCATCAATTCTACAGTCTGGATCTAGAACATAGATGCAGCCATCGTCTTTTTCCTAGACATAAGCTCCACTGATTTCAGGGGATTTACTTTTGAATAGATATCCTCAATCATCACATCAATTTCTGTTGTTTAAAAGTAGAGCATATTCAATTGATAATATCCCAGCTCATGGAGGGGTTAATGTGAATTTCTGGTTGTATGAGAATGGATTCTTAAAAGTCTTATTTGCCCTCAACACCTTTCCTTGGTTCCAGATATCAGAAGTGGAAAACTGTTGGTCTCCTAGAATGATTCAACTACAACTCCCACCAGTTGTCTACAAGACACCTTGCTAACTAAGGCTTCTCTGAATTCTGATACGGCTTTTTATCCACTCATGTTGTCCTTCCTCTCAAAAGCAAAATAAACAAAGAAAATATAGATAAAGGAACATTTTCTTATTTTATACTAGACATCCCCTGCCATGTGTTGCTGTGGCTCAGTCTGTGTATATGTGTTTTGTGTATGTATATATGTCTATGTGTGTATATACATATTTGTGTATATCTATATAAATAAAAATAAACAAAACTCAAAAACCACTGGACGAATTGACACCAAATTTGGGCACAAGACACCTAACAACCCAATGTATGTCCTTCACTAAAAAAATAAAAAAAAATTGTCATTTGGGAGTTGTAGTTACTGGGATTTATAGTTTACCTAAAATCAAAGAGCATTCTGAACCCCACCAACAATGGAATTGAACCAAACTTGGCACACAGTTCTTCCATGAACAACAGAAAATACTGAAAGGGTTTGGTGGGTAGTGTCCTTTGGTTTTGGAGTTGTAGTTCACTACATCCAGAGAGCACTGTGGACTCAAACAATGATGGATCTGGACCAAACTCTACACGAATATTCAATATGCCCAAATGTGAACACTGGTGGAGTTTGGGGGAAATAGAATCTTGACATTTGGGAGTTGTAGTTGCTGGGATTTATAGTTCATCTACAATCACAGAGCATTCTGAACCTCACCAACGATAGAATTGGGCCAAACCTCCCACACAGAACCCCCTTGTGGGCCACAGCAGCGTGTGGCAGGGGATCGCTAGTGTGTATATGTGTGTGTTTGCGTGTATGTGTGTGTGTGTATATATATATGGTTTTGTGCATGCATTGTAATGTATTTTTTATTTTTATTTTTTGCTTTTTAAGTCCCTTCTGCTGTGTTTTTCAGTGTTTTTATGAGTGATGGTCACTCGTTGGCCTGATAGGTGTATTGTGTCCAAATTTAGTGTCAATTCGTCCAGTGGGTTTTTTTGGGTTTATGTTAATCCCACAAACTAACATTACATTTTTATTTATATAGATATCAACAACTGGATGCAGAAATCAATACAGAATTTGGGCTTCTTTAGTGAAAGCTATACTTTCATTTAATTTTTGGTATTTTTTTAATCCAATATACACTTACATTTCAAGAAATGATCACAGTTTTTGAAGATTGACATTATCCTACAGTTATGTGTGCATCATCACATAAAATCTGTTAGGAAAGTATTATTGGTGCAGCATAACATATAGTGAGCCCTTGGTATCTATTCATGTTTGTCCCAGGTCCCATCATGGATACCAAAGTCATAGATACTCAAGTCCCAGTAGGAGCCCCTGTGGCGCAGTGGGTTAAAGCCCTGTGCCGGCAGGACTGAAGACTGACAGGTTGCAGGTTCGAATCTGGGGAGAGGCGGATGAGCTCCCTCTATCAGCTCCAGCTCCTCATGTGGGGACATGAGAGAAGCCTCCCACAAAGATGATAAAACATCAAAATAATCCGGCCGTCCCCTGGGCAACGTCCTTGCAGACGGCCAATTCTCTCACAACAGGACACTCCTGACACGACAAAAAAAAGTCCCAGTATTTGCAATGGAGTGGTGAAATTGTGTCCTCTATATGGAATGGCAAACTCAAGTTTTGCTTTTTCATTTTCAAAAATATTTTCAAATTGTGGATGGTTGAATCCATTGATATATCCGTGTATACAAAGAACTGACTGTACTTCAATTTCAATATTTTTGTATACTCCCCATCAAATTATTATTAGTGCTCATGAATATTTCATTTCAACATTTTAATGAATTTATCCTAGGGTATATTACTATAATAACTGCAAATACCTCCTTATAGGTGAGAGCTGAGTAAAGTCATTTGTGCTTTTAGTATGCCTACTGTGTTTCTTCTTTCCATTCTGAATATATTACCAAGTGTAAATCAGCTAAAGGCAATAGATTTCCATGCGGGGATGGAATCACCCTATCATTAGAAACTCTTAGTATTTGAAGAGAATAAAGTCTACCCGCTAGCCTAAATAAGAAAAGCTGATTTATGTTTAACTCAGTCGTCAGACAACACAGCAACCATCAATAGAGTTAATGATTGTTTCAAGGATTTGTTAGGAACATGGTGAAAACGAGTGAGAAAATCCCTTTCTTTGTTCAAAACTTCCAGAGGTATACACTAGATAACAGATCCAAAGCACGCATATCCTAAATCTCTCTGCTTTTGGAAGCGACTGTTGGCATTTCGTACTGTTGGGAGAGAAAAATAAGTACCATGAGTTCACATGCTGTTGCAAGCAATATGGTGTGCTTTAAAAATATTTGTTTTCTCCACTGATTAATAAAATCACACAATTTTTAGCAGTCTTTTATTTTTATAATGCAGTTAGACACAAAGGTGCAGTTGGTGAAATGGGACAGAAACTAGGCACATCAAGCTTACTATGTGTGAGGGCCATCAGCCACATTAATAGCAGAGGTAGTACTATTCAAAGCGCTGGTTATATGTCTTGTGTCCAGGCTCTGAAGCATTTTATCTTATACTAGCTGTACCTGCCATGCATTGCTGTGGCCAACCTTCCCTCCCCCTTTTATTTTCTTCCTTCCTTCCTTCCTTCCTTCCCTTTTTGCTTTCCTTTTCTCCTTCATTCCTTCTTTTCCCTTCCTCCCCCCCACCTTTTCTTTCCCTTACTGTTTTTCCCCTTTCTTCCTTCTTTACCTATTCTTGGACTGCAACTCCCAGCAGTCCTCCTAATCAATCTACCTACCTACCTACCTATCTATATCTATCTAATCCATCTGGAGGATTGCTGGGAGTTACAGTCTAGGAATAGGAAATTGGAAATATGCATGGATTGGGGTGTTCCCAAAGAAATCCAAGGGGGAAAAAAGCTTGCATCTTGGAAGCAGTACATTTGGACCATCCTCCTCTCCTAAAAAGGGATGCTGGGAGCTGTAATCTGGAGGAGAGTGTAGATATGCTATTGTGTGTTTTGTTTTTGCGCATGCATTGTAGCATCTTTTTTCTTTTTTGGCTTTTTAAGTCCCTTCCACTGTGTTTTTCAATGTTTTTATGAGTGATAATCACTCATTGGCCTGATAGGTATTGTGTCCAATTCATACAATCATTTTTGGGTTATGTTAATCCCACAAACTAACATTGCATTTTTATTTATGTAGATCAGGGGTCCTCAAACTTTTTAAACAGAGGGCCAGGTCATAGTCCCTCAAACTGTTGGAGGGCCGGATT